TAAGTGGATCCATCCCCATTTTCCAAAGTAGGCTAACAGGGTTATTCAGTAAAGGGATAATTCTATGTAGATTTAAAATTTAAGGTTAAAGTAGCCAAACTGGATACATAGTAGACTTAAGTTTTTTAAGAAACAGAATATGAGTGATGTAACTGAAGGTTGTGCAAACACATAGATTAGCAGAGACAGGAAGGCAGAGTTCCTTAACTGTGGGCATGGACTTGGAAGCAGATGACAGAAGCATAGAGGGGAAGGCTGGGTAGGCAAACTAACAACGTGTGGGGATATGGGCAGGTAGAGTTACACTGTTGTGGGGCTGGAGAGAGGCATAGTTCAGATATTGTGGGGTCTGAGTTATGGATGGGGCAGAGATACAATTATTTACTGACCACATGGCAGTCTGTTAGATGTGGAATCCGACCAAAGGAGCAGCAAGATTGGAGATAATTTTGTGTCCTACTTTAAATATACTTGCTTTCGAAGTTTTCATAGTATATTTAAAAACTCAGGCAATGGGCTCATTTAATGTAAAGTTTTTTTTTTTTTTAAACAACAACTCTGAAAGTTTTTTGGGAAGAACAGATGGACATGCCCCCTGGAGTGCCTAAACCTCTGTAACAGTTGTAAGCCATTTTGAGTTTTTACAGAGGAATCGGTTAGTGAAGCAGATATAGGTTTGAAGCGTAAAGTTGACAGAAAACCATGTTTTCAGTCTCAGTGATATTTGGGCACAGTGCTAAAAAAGGCAATAAAACAACACTGAATTCTATAATTGTGACCATACTGAACATAACATATTTCTGATTAGCCGAGAGCTTCCTGACCAGCAACATTCAGGGCAGACCATGAAGAGAATGCTACTGAAGCACTCTTTGCATGGTCCTTCTGTCCTCACCACAATGCAAACACATCCAAATATGAGTTTACTTTGTACTGGCTGGGAAACATTGCCTGGTGCGTTGCATCTCGGGACATATTTGGTCTCCCTGGGGTAGAGACAGTGATAAATGCTAGTAGATAGGCAATAAAATAACAATTTGTGCATAAACAGGGTGAACTGGCAGAGTTTGGATGAAAACACTGATTGAGTAGAGACTGGCAAATAGAATGCTGAGGAACAGAGACCAAAGAACAAGTTAAAAAAAAGTTTGTGGAGAATAGGAAACACAGGTAAGATGGTGGAGTGAGAATGAGCAAGAACGACACTCAAAAGAGACTGTAGAGTAAGGAAGAGCATGACTAAAGGGAGATTTGGGATATGTGAGGGGCTGGCAAATTGGATTTTTACCTAAAAGCCTATTAATCATTTTATTGACCCTAGCTATACACATGAAAACGTTGCCATACTTTAAAGTGTGTTCTTCATGCAGTCTAGAAGAATGTTCTGCCTGGGGAATTGTGATGATTAAGTGCATTATCTTCCTTTACTCCCCTTTATCTGCTCCAGGCTATGAGCGCTTTGACTACTGATGGCAATCTCTGTGAGTGCTATAGCAGCCAACAAATGCCCTGAAGCAGCAAACAGTTGCATAAAATTTTGCAACTGATTGTTAAAGGTTTTCTACAGGCGCTTTGAGAAGTTAAAGGTACCTCAGCCTGACTCCAGTGCCTTACTTTATTCGGAAATGGATTCAACACCTTGAGAGTTATTAACTAACTATGAATAATGCAGTTAAAAAAAGCTACTGCATCATTTAGCTTGTGATAAACCGCATTATAACACACTGGTGATCAATGCTGATGCATACACACATAAATTAAATACTATTTCCTTAAATGCAAAAATTAAATGTGCACATTCTTATGAACTGCAAACCAAGTGGATTCTGTACATTTTATATAGGGTGAAATAGTTTAAATAGTTATTTAGTTATTAAATAATTTACCAGGAAGGATACATTGAGATTTCTCTTAGTTTTAGGTATGTCCTGGGCCCACAAACAATTAATTGTTACAGTAGGCTACAACATAATATTACAATTACAAAATAATATTGAAATACACGTGTATATAAATTTGACACCGAACAGATAAGAAATATAATCAACCATGATTACAGGTGCATTCTGTATTGAGATATGTTGACAGAGATCTCTTAAAGGATTTTAGGCTGGGGAAAGATTTGAAAGTGTCTGTGAGGTTATTCCATTATAGCGGTGCTCTGTAGGAAAATGAGGATCGAGCCATATACTTTTTGTATTACGGTACTGTATTGATAAGAGAACAAAGTGTAGATAACAATGGAATTTAAATGTTCAAAAATCATTAAGAGTATAAGACATAATGGAATCACAACTATTCCCTAAATGATAGACAACTCTAAAAAGACCATAACAAGCATTTGGCGTAAACTAAATGTGAAGAGAAAATATTTCAGTGACACAATAAAAATTTTTTTTTTTAAATACCAACATATAGATGTCAAGCTAAACAGTCCACAAGATGTGATAAAATAAGAATTTTCTTAACAAAGAATATTGCTTCTAAAAGCACAATTACTTTCTAATGTCAAAATACCAAAATTGCCGACGGTAAATCAAACACAATTCTGTATAATAGTGGACTGCCGTAAAAAATGATGCTGTAAAAAATAAACTATTTTTAAAAATTGAAAAAAAAATGTAATTACAAAATTATTTTATATGGACCACTAAAGAGAAGTCACTATTTTCACTGTGAATTGGTGGGTGATCTTTGCACTTTGTTACATTTTATTAATTTGTTTAAATTTGCAAATTTGAGTGTTTGTTATCATGGTTCAAACTTTGTTAGGTATCATTTCATTTGCTATAATTGTGTTCAAAAGTTTGCATATCCTGGCAGATATTGTGACATTTTAACATTGATTTTGAAGATATGACTGATCATGCAAAAAAAACATTTTATTTTTTTGAAGGATAGTAGTCATATTAAGCTATTTATTATCACATAGTTGTCCTTTTTAAATCATAATGATAACCTGAATCCCCCAAATGGCCCTCATCAAAACTTGACATACCCTTAAGTGTTTGGCCTTGTTACAGACACACAAGGTTACACCCACAGGTTAAAAATGGCAATTAAAGATTTAAATTGCAATTAGTGTCTGTACATAGTCAATGTGTTTGTTAGCTCTCCCGTGGATGCACTGAGCAGGCTAGATACTGAGCCATGAGGAACAGAAAAGAACTGTCAAAAGACATTTGCGTAACAAGGTAATGGAACTTTCTAAAGATGTAAAAGGATATAAAAAGATATCCAAAGCCTTGAAAATGACAGTCAGAACTATTCAACTGTTCAATCACTCTTTAAGAAGTGGATAATTCAGGAATCTCTTGATACCAAGCCAAGGTCAGGTAGACCAAGAAAGATTTCAGCCACAACTGGCATCCTGCAGTGAAACACTCAGGCCTCACATCACACTGAACTCAGTGAAAGACTGCATTTAACATCCTGCAGTGAAACACCTACCACCCTCAGGTACTGACTGAAGCTTGGAAGATACTCCACCTCATATATTCCTGGATTGCTAACATATTATCATGTGTTACTATAGATTTGTTACCATTTATACCACTGTATACCATTTTCCACTGTAAATTTTCTGTGCATGCACTTTGTACTACAGTCATTTAATGTTTCTGACCAATATTTCATGTAGACAGTTATTAATAGTTTGGGTGATAGAATTTGGTTGCTAAACTTTTCAATTGTATATAACACATGGCTACTCTACCTACCCCCACACCCTCTCCCTTTCTCTTTCTCCTCCCCAGTTGTAAATACCTTCATATGACTGCTCCCTCTCATTCTCTGTTATTCAGGCCTCACGTCACACTGAACTCAGTGAAAGACTGCATTTTTTTTCTCCCCATTCCTGCCCACCCAGGCTTCCCCTAAATATAAAGCATGCCTATCCAGCTGTTTGAGATTCTCACTCAATTACCTCTTCATTCCCTTTGTATCTTACCAATAGCTGCTTCTCTGTTAACTCTTCCAGCCATCACATCCAAACTCCCGCTGCTACCTCTTGTCTCAAATCCCCCTGGTATCCTTTAAATTGTAAGCTCACGGGCCATCTAGCCAAGCACTTTATATAAAAGAGCTCCAATGGCTAGATATCAGCTTACGGGCAGGGCTCTCCCTCTTGTACTTGTCTATGTATATTGTATGTTTCTCCACTAATTGTACAGCGCTGCAGAATCTGTTGGCGCTTTATAAATAGCAGTAATAAATAAATAAATAATAAAAACTGCCAGAATAATTATTCAGAATACAAAGAAAAGCCCACAGGTAGCCTCAGATGAAATACAGGCTGCTCTGGAAAAATATGGTGTGGTTGTTTCAAGGAGCACAATATGACGATACGTGAACAAAAATGAGCTGCATGGTCGAGTTGCCAGAAAGAAACCTTTACTGCGCCAATGCCCCAAAAAAGGCCGGTTACAATATTTCCGACAACAACTTGATGAGCCTCACAGCTTCTGGCACACTGTAATTTGAAGTGACAAGACCAAAATAGAGCATTATGGTCACAACCATAAGCGCTATGTTTGGAGAGAGGTCAATAGGGCCTATAGTGAAAAGAATATCATCCCCACTGTGAAGCATGGTGGTGGCTCACTGATGTTTTCAGGGTGTGTGAGCTCTAAAGGCACAGGGAATCTTGTAAAAATTGATGGCAAGATTAATGCAGAATGTTAACAGAAAATACTGGCAGACAATTTGCATTCTTCTGCACGAAGGCTGCGCATGGAACGCTCTTGGACTTTCCAGCATGAAATGACCCTATGGGACGGCGAAACAAAAAAGCGAAGCCGGACAGGCCTCCATCTACTGTGGACATCGGGGATCTCCTACGGTGGCCCCAAAACTTCCAGAGGCCTGAAATGGTGCCACAGCTGGAAGGCCTATACCACTCGTTCAGCGAGGCCACCGAGTCGGAAGAGGACAACTATGGTGCTGGAGCGGTAAGCAGACCGACCCACACACACCCTAGCCTCACAGAGGGGAAGCTCAAGGACATGCTGGGAGAGCTGCGCCGTAACATAGCAGCCAACATAGGCGTGTTCCGAGACGAAATTAGCAGAGTGGTGGCCCGCCTGCAAAACACAGAGCTTACTACCGCCGCACAGGAGTCCCGACTAGTGTCAGTGGAGCAACAAATCATCGTCCTACAAAAAACACAAAGGCAACACCAAAACAATATGGCAGCGCTCGAGGACAAGAGGCGCTGGAAGAATGTTAAAATCTGCGGCCTACCAGAAGCAGTAGAGACCGCAGAGCTGCCGCATCTAGTCCGCAGAATGCTCAACACGCTCTTTACGACCAAACAAGCCAAAGGACATTCCAGACCACAAACCGGCACACCAGAGAAGGGGATGTTGTAATCATCAGATTCCAACAAGGCCGGGATCGCCAGACATTCATGGCGGCCATGTGCGGCAAAACCCCTCTCAACTTTGAAGGCCATTCCCTAACCTTCTATTCAGATCTGTCCAAAGCCACCATGGACTGGAGAAGGTCCTTTCAACCAATGACCACAGAACTCAAGACACATAATATACCCTATTGCTGGGGCGCAGCAAATACCCTGATCATACCCAGAGACACTGGTGATTTAAAACTACAAGAAGCTACTGAAATACCTGATATCTTGCAACAGCTCGCATTGGACAAACAAGCACCGTGTCCAGTGGAATCCAACAAGCCAACGACAACTACAGCCTCGAATCCCGCCACATTGTGACCCTTTGCCCCCACAGCACAGCCTGGTGAAAAAGCATCTACCTCACTGCCATGAACATTCCGGCAACACCAGGGCTTAAAGCCTTACTATCGAACTCTAATCTATAAGTAACGTTATATTTTTATGTTCTAAGTTTATGGCCCACTACTCTTGGCATACATACATTTCCTCTCGAATGTTGATGTAAGCATGAAACACATTATTTTTATTACCTGCTCGCCTACCCCAGTCCACCTTTATAATCCTCGGAGAATACGGCTGTTATCACTGACCCAAGAGTTAGAGAAGGGGGACATAGGCCTCTCTAACCCGCTCCTAGTTCAACAACCCTGGTTAAACCTAATGTTTAAAGAGGGGACCGTTGTGCCCTGACCCATATGCAATACGAACACACGCACCTTGTATCACTTGTATCACTTAAGCAGGAGCTGCACGCTAGACATCTAACTGTAAACAACTTGTAATAGTCACCTTCATACTATAACATAAAATGTGCCGTGTTATTGATGCCAACCACAATATACCTTTGTTTGAAAGAAACTACTTGCATCAGCTGTTGTGGCTAAGCAAGAATGTATGTACAAACAATGCACAAACAAAATAAAGAAGAAAAAGAAATGTGTTTTGCCTACTCAATCATGTTTTCTTAAAACAAATTACATATATTACCAGTTCTACAAGGGTATGCAAACATTTGAGCACAACTGTATTTGCTAATATTAAAATTGTCCCACACTGTAGCCGATTATTTATTAATTTCATACTCTGTTGTCAATATTAAAGATATTTCAAGCTCAAGGCAACTGGCACACAAAATATAGTATATACATAACAAATGGAACAGTTTCATGTCACACTCCAGAATCTCATGTTATAATGTAAAAATAAAAAAATTAAAATAATGGTCAAGTGTGTATTTACCATCACAGTCTTGCAGCTCAGATTAGTATTAAATATATCAGTCAGCCTCTCACTGATTTACAATAAAGAATATCTGAAAGTGCACGCCAAGAGGATGTTACTATCCTCCTTTATAAATTTATACAAAAAGTGGAGACCAGGAGGAAATTGATCAAACAAAGTAACTCCTACTTCTTTACAATGGGCCTGATTCTAATCAAAGCAATAAAACGTTATAACGTCAGTTTTTAATGTGGTGCCTTTGTTGCAAATCCTTGATCCACCATTTCATGAGGGGTAGAAAGATTTATAAAAAAAAAAAAATAACCAAATAATATAAAGGGCATGGCTCCTCCCTCTTCTGCATAGGTTGGAAGGGGATTGTCCTAAAAGCATTAGGGAAGGCTTGTCAGTAACCCCTTGTTACCACATAGGTCAGGTGGGTGGATATTAACTAGAGAGGTGACTATTGTCATATTCATTTCTTACTCCATCTCCATAGCCATGGGTGGGGAAATTAGTGGGAAAAAAGCCAAATGTGCTATTTTTCCATTGTTTCACCCTTCGGTGCCAAGTTAGTTTGAAAAAAAAAATACATACATATAACGCGCCAGAATCCCCCCACAAACACCTTTTGAAATGTAATGTGTATAGTTACAATGAAAATTATTCAACTCCCATTGAAGATCATGTTTATTGTCAAAACTTACAGACTTTCAGCTCTTAGCAATGAACAAATGCAAATTATTAGCTCAACACAATGAATGCTTCAAGTGGTTTCCCCAAATTCAACTGAAAATGCAACTTATAAAGACTTCTCTAGACTCAAAAAGACTAAACCCCTTGATGGCAAGCATCTTTAGTACTTAGTAGAACACCCTTTTGCTGTTGTGACCTGCTGCAAACAAGACACATAGACAGATACCAGCTACTGGTAGCATTCCTGAGGAATCTTAGCCCATTGCTCACGAGCAATGTCCTCCAGTTAATTAATATTTTTGGGTTTGCATGCTGCAACCGTCTAGTTAAAATCCCACCAGAGATTTTCCAGGGGGTTCAAGTCAGGTGGATTTTTCCAGGACTTCTTCTGCAACCAAGCCCTGGTGGAATTTGAGGTATGCTTGGGATCATTGTCTTGTTGGAAAGTCCAATCATGTCAAGCTTCAGTTTCCTCACAGATGGCATGACTTTTTCTCCCAGGACTTCCTGATATTTTAATCCATCTTGTCTTTCACAAGCTGAAGGTTTCCAGTGCCAGAGGATGCAAAGCAGCCCCAGAGCATCACCAAGCCATCTCCATGCTTAACTGTAGGCAGAGTGTTCTTTTAAGGATATGCTTTATTCCTCCTCCAGACGAGGAGGATCCATTGAGCCAAAGAAAATCCAGTATTGTTTAATTTCTCCACAGAACAGAATCACAAAACTTATGTGGCTTATTTATATGATTTTGAGTCAGTAGTGGTGTACGTCTTGGAGTTCTGGCATGGAAACCTCCTGCATTTAGTACGTGCCTTAATATGCTCACTTAAACCTCAGCCACCATCTTGCTGCAGATATTTTTCACAACTTTTTAGAAAGCTGGTTGCAGCCATTGATAGCTTTCTTTTTCTGCCCTATCCAGGTAGTGTAACCACTGTTCCTTCAAATTTGAACTTGTGAATTATGCTTCCAGTGGTGTTTCTAGGAGCAATCAGTGACTTTGCTATCTTTTTTTTATCCTGTTCCATATATGTGAAGGGTGATGGCTTCTTCTCTTAACTTTGTCAACCATTCTTTTGACTTAGCCATATTTCTAACATACAGTAAAATATGACACTAAACAAACCCATAGCCAGTTCAGGTATTTCACGTGTTCCAGCTCAAGTACACCTGGTGCAACTAATGAAGCCCTTGATTAGTTGCATTTGGTGTGCTTGAGACAGCACTTGTTTTGCATGTTTGTGCTATTGTGAGGGATTCTATTCAGGCGATTGAATAATTTTGAGACTGGGGAAGTCCTAATAAGTTGCATTTTAAGTTGAATTTGGGGAAACTACATGAAACATTTGTTGTGCTAAGCTATTTCAATTGCTTTTGTTTGATTTGTTCATTGCAAACAGCTGAAAGTCTGTCAATTTTGGTGTTGAATACTTTTGATTACAACTGTACATTTATATTTCAAGTCTGTATGTATAGATAGCTCATTATTTATTGTAAAAATAAAAAACAATTATCAACAAACATATATTGTTAAATGGACAATTACAAAATAATGTTATAAATAATGGAGTTAAATATTAAAGTATTGATTTATTTTATGCCTATTTAGTGCCTATTTTCAACATTTTACAATTATGAGAAATGTATAAAAGTTGTGGATGATTGGATTCATACCAATGCAATCAATGTATACATGTAATGGGTTAATGTGCATATACATCAAGATAATACATTTGCACAAATTTGTGTAAATATTTACATATATAAGCTTTTCTATATTTTTCTTCGCAATGAATGACACCAGCTATCATTATAAGATCTGAGTGATCACTTACTCACTAAGCAAAGACAGCCAATTACAGTTACTCTTTAATATGTTTACATTTTTTTATTATATTATAGAGCAAATTATGCAAATGCTAAAATTTATAATTTTACACTAAATGCTATAAAAATAATTCCTATCAGACATCATGACTACCTCTTCAATCATAAATTGTTACATATTGGTGCCCATTTAGCATTTATCTTTACAGAAACAAATTACTCCATTAGGAAGCAAATTGCTCCATTCACAATCTGAAACATGAAAACCACATTCAAAAGCAACCATTCCATTAACCTTGTGCAAGTAGGACAAAATGGTATGATGCCTTATAAATGATCCATACTGCGGTTTAAGTCGTGCATGAGTTAAGTTATAAGACAGCCTAATAACACATCACATTTGTGTCTTATAAAAGGTTAGTCTACATAAAAAGGGAGTCACATTAAAAATGTTGTGGCAAAATAAAAATAATTAAATAAACTTTTAAATCTTTCCTTGGTGCACTTCTTAATGATCGACTCCTTACACATTAGGATGGGACTCTTATTTTAGTCTATGGTACTGACGTTATCGTGTTATTCTTTGTCCAGCAGGGGTATGGGATAAGTAGTTTACCCCAAAAGAGCAGTTTCACTCATTCCATAGTCCTGCTCAATAAACTGACAGCGGCTATGTAGCGATTGTTTTCAGCATACACAGCCTTTCCTTGTTCACTGTTTCCTAAACTGTGTTTTATTAACAGTAAAACAATCCACCGCTCACATAATAAGAACCACTGACAGAATTATTCCATCAAGGCAGTCCTTGCCAAGAAGACCACAGACGGAATAATTCCGTCATTTACTAAGATTTTTTATATATATATATATATATTTTTATTGCAATAAAGAAATGGTACAATATTAGTGATGAAAAAAAAATATATTATGAATACCGCACTCTAATAGCAATAAATATAAATAATACTTGTTGTTATTGCTGTGATAAATTCTTAATGTTTATTCTAGATAAATTTATATAAAGTATGATGGTAGAAATGTTCATTTCATCCTGAGTACACCAATTATATACAAGGAATATATACAATATATACAGTATATACAGAATTTTCCATATGTTGGATAAAGTTCATCTAATGTGTATACACTTGGTGGTGATCCTTACAAATCGAGAAAAAATTGAAAAAAATTAAAAAATTTAAAAAATGTAAAAAATGAAAAAAATCCCCAATCCAAAACAGAAAAGAGAAAAGGGGAAATAAGGAGAAAAAAAAAAGAAAAAAACAATATGAGAGTCCTGGTAGTCCAAAATATAGTGCACTATATATAGCTATATGTGGATGGATCTCACCAATGTGGAAATCTTTTTCTTGGTGTACACAGTCAAAGTTGTAATCAGGTGATGATCTGAACGAAGGTGAAGGTAATGATTAATGTAGAAAACGGACAGTCACTCCATCAGCTTCCAGTAGGTGTGTGGTCAGAACGGCAAATCAATTTATCTGCGAACGGACTTGCTCAGGCAATCTGATCTTTGGACGGGCTGCGCGCTCGGGACATATCTGTCCCTTCGACGGCCCCTGTGTGGGGACAGTCACTCCATCAGCTTCCAGTAGGTGTGTGGCCAGAATCAGCTCCCAGTAGGTGTGTGGTCAGAACGGCAAATCAATTTATCTGCGAACGGACTTGCTCAGGCAATCTGATCTTTGGACAGGCTGCGCGCTCGGGACATATCTGTCCCTTCGACGGCCCCTGTGTGGTCACACAGGGGCCGTCGAAGGGACAGTTCGCAGATAAATTGATTTGCCGTTCTGACCACACACCTACTGGGAGCTGATTCTGACCACACACCTACTGGAAGCTGATGGAGTGACTGTCCGTTTTCTACATTAATCATTACCTTCACCTTCGTTCAGATCATCACCTGATTACAACTTTGACTGTGTACACCAAGAAAAAGATTTCCACATTGGTGAGATCCATCCACATATAGCTATATATAGTGCACTATATTTTGGACTACCAGGACTCTCATATTGTTTTTTTCTTCTTTTTTTTTTCCTTTTTTCCTTTTTTTTTTTTCCTTTTTATCTTTTTTTCTCCTTATTTCCCCTTTTCTCTTTTCTGTTTTGGATTGGGGATTTTTTTAATTTTTTTAATTTTTTTCAATTTTTTCTTGATTTGTAAGGATCACCACCAAGTGTATATACATTAGATGAACTTTATCCAACATATGGAAAATTCTGTATATACTGTATATATTGTATATATTCCTTGTATATAATTGGTGTACTCAGGATGAAATGAACATTTCTACCATCATACTTTATATAAATTTATCTAGAATAAACATTAAGAATTTATCACAGCAATAACAACAAGTATTATTTATATTTATTACTATTAGAGTGCGGTATTCATAATATATTTTTTTGATTGTGATTTGGAGGTTGTCTTTGGGGTTAACCTCGAATACCTGCACCTAGATGTAATTGAGTGCCAGCACACATTGTATTTTTCAATATTAGTGATGCCAGGAGTAGGAAATATGTGTATCCCGAGTTTCAGGATGGCTGTGCGGGCTGTGTTGGGATAAATGCGGGTGAAGGTAGGATGTGAATCGGAGAATGGTTGTGGAGTTTGGGTATGTAGCTAAGACATGTTGGTGATGAGATGGTAGAAAACCCGATAATTACAAATAATCATCTAATTTATGAAATGGTGAAAATAACAGGAACTGTATACAAACACTTATAAAACATCATATAATACATATGCACTGAGCGCAATTAAACGAGGTGTTGGAAGACAGAATCAAAACGGGAGCAGAGGCCTCTAGAATGCCATAGTGGCTGAACAGGCCAGTGGCCATGATGGCTATACATAATACATAGGAAAAGACAGGAGATATAGGACATACATTAAAAAGACCTACAACTGGAATGCTTAGGAGAATGATAACTACTAATGCATACACAGCTGACATAGAAGATTAGGGTTAAAAGCAACAGGAAATGCTAGAATAATGCTAGAATATCTCAGTAATATTAGCATCAGAAATAAAACTTCATTGCTTAAACTAAACATGACTGAATGATGTTCCTGATGCATGTAGACCGTACAAAGAAAGTCTGGGTGGTAGAAAGTGAGGGAATACAAAAGCAGCAGACAAGAGAACTGAAGGTTTAGCTAGCTGTTTTAGATTATACCCCAATGAAAATTACATAATTAAATGCATGCAAGCTGTCCCTTGGGGCATATCTACTAAACAGTGAATTACCAAACAATGTTGGCCCAATGAGTACCTGAATACCCAGAGGGCAGACAAACATTAAAATGTAGGGTGACTAACTGAAATGCATATGATACCATTTTATGAATTTGAGGTCATTTAGTAAAAATATTTAAGACATTTAGAAGATATCGCCCTTTACAGAAAATAAGGGATTTACATTTATTTGTAAAGAAAATGTACATACAAGTTTATATTTTATATCCTTTACCACATGTATAAGTTCCAAGTTTGGGCCTGACATAAAGCTAGACAGTCAGTTGCAACACCTAGCCACATAATTACTAAACAATGAAGACTCAAAAAGTGCATGAATACACAGGACAGACAAAAAAAAACAAACTTTAAAATGTAGAGTGAAACAATAAATTGCAGGGTGACTAACTAAAATGCATATGATAAGTCGATATGGCCTAGTGTTGGCCAAATACAGTAAGCAGAATGAGGCATTGCTACCAAATACAGTAAGTAGAATGAGGCATGCTATGTACAATTGAAATAGGCTGAATTTGCGTTACAAGTAAAATTTGCCAAATCCGAATGGCTGAACAAACAAACTTTCGGTTTTGTTGAAAAAACAAAAGTTATAGAAGCCGTAAATGGAACTAACCAGGTCAACAAAGGTATAGGCCCTGGGTTGGTACGGGCACGATGTTCGACTGGGGGAATGACGAAGTGATGATACTCAGTGACTCCTAACATGTTCATCCCATGGGGCAATTTTCAAAATGATGGCAGAAACCATGGACCATGGTTGTGAACTGGTCCCTAATATTCTTATAATAAATTTTAGCTCTAATCTCCTATAGTGAGGGCATCTCTGACTTGACCCCCCTCCCACCCTTCCCCAGTAGGCATAACTCTCCTGCATGTCAGCAAGAAACATAGCATTTAACAACCAATTATCAATTTTTTTCCCCATAGAACCATAATATTACAGGTATTCAGGAAAGATATATCAAAGATTCTGGTTGAGCTATTCATGTTAGTGTCATGACTTTACTCTGAAAAGATGAATTCCAGTATACAACTATGTAAGACTGCTGGTATATGAGGTGAATATGGGTCTGGATATTTATACCTGCAAGTTCTATGTTACTGAAGATGAATTAATATGACATTTATACAAATTAACGTGTGATGGATTTTACAGGTCATTCAAGATTTGGACACGTTATGGACCATTTAACTTGTATGTGTTTAATGGTTGGAAAACATTTTAAGCTAAAGACAAGGATTGGTGATCTTTGTTTATTTTGCTGTCCCTCTGTTTCATTGAAAACTTTTTTTTTTTCTCTTTAAGTATTTTATTTTCTGGCAACACAATTGTGGTTTTATTTTTTGCAGGATCACCTTTGCAGTCTCAAAATTCTTATAAAATACTGATTGCCAAGAGGCCGTGTCATTAAACCCTAGTAACAACTTAACAAGCTAAAGACATTTCCAAGATTAGATACTATTAATTCTTACAGTTGTAACTGTTTACAGTAGGTTTGATACACATTTTTGTCATGCCCTGGAATTGCTTTCTGAGACACTACAATGACTGGAATGCAGGCTGAGTGTATATTTCCTCTAAATTCTCATTGAAAAGGATGATGTAACAGCAACATGTAAGCCTAGAGAATGTCATTAGTTGCTGATATCATTTTATCCCAGGATGTGTTGTGTGTTTTTAGCTGCATAGTATAGCAGTATGTTGTGGCTGAAATGTCCTTAAGATATTTTAAATTTTAGATTTCTGTATTTTTGGAGTAACTCATAAACCTTGAATGCCACATAACTAATCAATGCTTATATTGTTAAAAACACAACAATCATTAGTGTTTCCAGTATTTACGTGAAATTATTGAGTGTAAATGAACACTCCCACCCTCCTAACAACTCCATCATGTTGCCTGAGTGCCATCTTACCTTCAGGGGTTAAATCATTTTTGAACGGTTTAAGCTCAAAGTTGATCCCCCTTTACCCAATAGCTTTGTCTCCTCTGCTGCCTTTTCTGGCCACCGTCCACTATTAGTAAACTGACATACTAACCATATATATTGGTTTTAATACTTTCCCCATTTATCCTATACTTATTTTTATTTTTTTTATACATTTATAATATTTTTTTCACACTTTTTAAATTAAGTAAATTAAATAAATTAAAGAATCCTATATACTTATATTCTGTCTTGTTCTCATCCTACATACTGGGGAAATCCTACTGCCATAACACTGCACATTGAAGGAGAAGACCACTGAACGTCAGGCATCAACTGTAACCGATTGGCCTAGCGGAACAGCACCAACAACACATCCACAGGGGAGATCATACCGCCCAATAGCGCACATCTGGAGCTGATCATAACCTCCAGAAAATTGTCAATGTTACGGCTTTTATTTATCTCATCGGTCTCCAAAGATACTACGCTATATCCCCTTTTTATCCTCTCTTTTCATACTACATCAACACCACATGGATTTGAGGACTTTCCAAAGGCACTGCTTCCTTACAACCCATGCCATGCAGTAACATTTAACGGCCAGAAAGAAGAGACCCTGGTTTGGGAATTACATCCTGACAGAATGATATCAGACAAGCACCAGAAATCCCGTTGTTTTATTGTCTATTTGAACTCTCAGCATAATGTCTACTACCATGACAATCTTTCCTGGAATGGGTAGTAGCCTCACAAAGAAAACTAGAAGTCAGAGCTGCTGTCAGATGCAAGGGTTCCAACTTTGGGGTTAAATGGTTTGAAAACATTTTAATCCTTGAAGGCAAGATGGCAGGTGGTATGTGAGTGGAAGTGTTCCTTCATATAGTATAATAGAGACATGATGTCCGTCTGTTTGTCTTTTTAGCCATAGGTATCTGGTATCTGTCTGTCTGCCTCTCTGTAGTTATATGGCATACATTATCATCCATACCAATGATTACGTTTTAGAGATATGTTTTGCCATGTTCTCTTGGCAGCATTTATTTATCCCAATTCAATAGTTTTCCTTCAGCTTTGAGTCAATTAGACAAATGTAGTCTAGAGTAAATTAAGGGATCTTTTCAATTACTTTTCAGTTGTCAGAATAAAAGCTGTCAAATGTCGAGTTTTTTGTGGAGTTAGGCAGTTTGTCTAGAGATCAAAATTGACTCCTGTCAGCCTCTAGAATGCATTTATGCCAATCTCAGTTTATTAACTTTACTTACTTTTTATTTTGACAGTTCCCTTTTAGCAGTGCATCACTGTGAAATTATTTTTTTATAAACCATAGCTCTACCTTGCTTGTTCCTAGAGCGGTTTTATATTTTTTTTAACAATGTCTTGGGAAATCTGTATTTGGCAAGGATATTACTCCATGTTTACTTATTACAGGCAGCAAAGTGTATACGCACATACATATTACTAGTAAAGAAGCACATTATTACTAAATATAGCCACTGGTGTTACTAGTGTCATATTGTAGTTTGTTATAATGTATGGATACAATAATAATAAATAAAATGTTTTTTTACCTTAGAGTCACTTCAATTAATTGAAACATATGAGTCCAATGGAATAAATCCCATAGACTTTCCGAATGTTCCTATATAATCCACTTAAACAAGATTAGTGAAAATAATAGTTGCATATTTGTAGAATAACTTGCGGATTATCACTCCTACGACCATGAATCAGAAGAAGGCATATCATTTAGAACAGTTCCTCTTTAAACAAATTCTTAGTGCAGTGGAAATAAATACTAATAGAAGAGATGAATCTGTAGGATGCACATCAAAATTTAAAAGATGTTTGATAGCAATGGTTCAATCCAAGAATAATGTTTAAAATAGAGGAGTCAGAGTCAGGGCTGGGATTGTTAGCAAGATTGAGGTCTGTTAATTTACAGCAGGTCGAGTCCATCCATGGTAGTGTTCGGTATACAGAAAGCTGTGAGAGGATGCCTGGAGATGTTTCCAAAGTTAAAGCAACTGCACAAAGGATTTCGGAGAGAGCATTGTTGGTTTACCATGAGCAGGTTAAAGAACCAGGTGGCCAGTCTAGTAATAGAATCAAAAATACAGCTGGCGTTAAATGTGAGTGTTGTTGGCTTACCATAAAACAGGGATCAATTTGGCTAAAGTAGAACAAGGTTCGAGAAAAGGGAGAGAAGGGAGATAACGGTGCAGAAGTTAGGAGCCTGGCATTGTTTACAGTTTAGCAAACAGGTTACTTTTCAGGAAGAGGCACTAAGGCCCATCAGGTGTGATTGAGACTCAATGATCAAGCATTGATTAAAGACTTAAAAAAGGCAAGAGAAAGGTAAGTCCTGGAAATGTTTAACCCTAGCCTATGGAGACCTTCTAACAATTGGTCTTGGCCCAAGCTTGTTTTATTTAGTTATTTATGCAGAACAGAGATTTGTCACCATAACATCTTGGATTATTTTTATTCCAAAATTGTTTTCTAAAATAAAAGTGAATCTGAGGATATTTCTAGTTTTATACACTTACGGAAATATCATAAAATGTCATGTGTTCTGGGTTTGTTTTGTTGTGTGTAATGGACTGGACAATGGATGCTGGTAATTTAGAAATCATGCTCACATAATCTCATGAATATTTGCTTTTAGTTTATGCCCATAGTGCAAATTGTTCTCATAAACTCTCATAAAACTAGAATTCAGAGAAAGCAGTTCAAAATGATTTTTTGTTGTGTTTTGCATTATATAGTAGGTTTTCTATTACAGCAAAAGGCTGACGTTCTTTGACAAATCCATAGTGTAAACTGCAAACTAATCATATTTAAATGAACACTCCAGATTTAAATACAACTTCAATGTATTTGGTAAGACTAACTAATGCCAGAAAGACTTCCTTATCAAAACGTATGCACATAGTTCAGCCTCTAAAACAGGGTGGGGAACCTTCGGCCCTCCAGATGTTTTGGAATACATCTCCCATAATGCTTTAACAGTCAGAATGTTAGCAAAGCATCAAGGGAGATATAGTCCACAACATCTGGAGGGCCGGAGATTCCCCAGCCCTGCTCTAACAGCTCACTCAGTGGGGGAAACTGTAACGATTTAAGCGTGCAAAAACATACAGCATATTAATGAAGCCAACATCAATCAAATGCATTAAACTTGTTTTGATGCCTGGAGTGTCAATTTGTTGAAAGCACTCTGGCTATATATAACCACAATGTGGCAACATTTGTGAACATGTACATTCCAGACAAATATATTTCAAAAGAGTAAAATTCTTAAAAATCTGAATTTGTTAAAAACAAAAAACAAAATAAAACTTGAAATCCATTCTAATCCAATAAATTTATTTAAATCCTTAATATGAATCAAGTAAAGACAAAGTGGTTTAATATTAACCCCAAAGCTCAGTACAGAAAATGTGATATCATATAAAACCCTATATTTAAATGAAGACTAACTAGTGTTATAAAATGTCTGTTGCTATATTAAATCATTTCATAGAGGGAACAAACTAAACAACACCATCTGCATGAAATTAAAATATATATATATATTTCTGTTCTGTTGTGCTAAAATAAAACTAACAGTAGGAAAAACACACCATGGGACTAAAAATTGGCACAGTATGATATATGTTCAGTTTTTTTTTTTATACAACTGTACATGACAAATATTTACAAATACATTTTCAATTTATTTTAATGTGGAAATACGTAAATTCCACATATTACATCAACTTCCATACTTAACATTTTGTATAATATACCAAATGGTAAAAAAAAAACACTATCATACAAACTTCAATGTTTGCTTTGGATATATATTACAAAATTGCACTGTTACATAGGCTGAAAACAAAATACAAAAGATAATGATACTGCACTCAGAAATTCAGAATAAAGTTCATTACTGAATTTAATAATCATTAATTAAGTATAATTCATTAGTTGTGAAATACTACAAAGTTAGAAAAATAGGAAAAGTTAATAATATATACACACACTTAAATTGATAATATATACAAGCTGGTATAGACCAATATAGTTTGGTAGAAACAGTGTATTGTGAATCTACTATTGTAACTCCATGTTAATTAAAGAGAGTCCCTGACCACATCAAGAAGTTAAGTACTAAGTTACTGTGTCTGGAAGTCCAAACAGATATATCATCCAGGAGAGTAGGGTAAATAAAAAAGGGAAAAAAAATAAGAAAAAAAACAAAAAAGGTAAAAAATGAAAAAATATACAAAAAAGAAAAAAGAAAAAAATGGAAAAATTAAGTATATACAGTCCCAGTGTGTACACACTATGATGCAATATGGATGGATTTCACCAATGGAGGAAAAGAGTCCAGTAGTCCAGTTCTTCATGTCTCTTAATGTGATGGTGAAATCCCTATGGTTGGTGTCAAATTATTCTTCCTTAGTTTTCAAATAAAATGTAAAGAGAGGTTCCCCACTTGTCCTGGAGGTGTTCAAGTAAAACTTCTTATCAGCTGGTCCTGGGTCTCATAAGCGGGCTGCGCGCTCGGGATCTATACACATCCCTTCAATGGCCCTGTCAGAGGAGAAAATTAGTGAAAGTCACATACTCCTATGCAGTTCGGCGCGCTTGCATTAATGCGCGGGCCGCGCCTAGATGACGTCATGACGCTCGCGTCCTCGGGTCGCGTTTGAATGACTTCATGACGCACACGTCCGGTATCCATGCCCGACGTGTGCCGTTTAATTATGCAAATATCAACATCCCTGTGTAGTTGTATGTGCCGAAAGTCACCTGCAAAGTCCACTGCATACAAAATTTGATAATGCATATTTATACATACAATCCTTTACCATAGTCTGCATGTATGGAAAAAAGCAAGTTCCCTAATACATATTTACCTAGGAAAGAGCTGTGCATATTGAAACAAAAAATCATAAAATCATATTAACATAGAGTCCTAAAATAATTGTTATGATAGGATTCTTCATCAATAAAGGAATACTAATCATATTAATATATACTCAAGAGTTAAAGGCATGTTTTATACCTGGTTAGACTGATCAAGAAAAAAGCTACTGATCATTTTATGTAAAGAAAGCTAAGGTGATTGAAAAATAAAAAAATGTGTGACTCAGACTGGATCTTTGCTTTTGTGTTTTGAAGTATATAAATCAATGAACCTAAATATTGAGGTTCTACTGGACTCTTTTCCTCCATTGGTGAGATCCATCCATATTACATCATAGTGTGTACACACTGGGACTGTATATACTTAATTTTTCTTTTTTGTATATTTTTTCATTTTTTACCTTTTTTGGTTTTTTCTTCTTTTTTTTTTTCTTTTTTATTTACCCTACTCTCCTGGATGATATATCTGTTTGGACTTCCAGACACAGTAACTTAGTACTCAACTTCTTGATGTGGTCAGGGACTCTCTTTAATTAACATGGAGTTACAATAGTAGATTCACAATACACTGTTTCTACCAAACTATATTGGTCTATACCAGCTTGTATATATTATCAATTTAAGTGTGTGTATATATTATTAACTTTTCCTATTTTTCTAACTTTGTAGTATTTCACAACTAATGAATTATACTTAATTAATTAATGATTATTAAATTCAGTAATTAACTTTATTCTGAATTTCTGAGTGCAGTATCATTATCTTTTGTATTTTATAGCTTTTGAGGTATTTTGGCCACCTCGATACTTTGCACCAACACGGATAAAAGATTGCCTGTACATAGTATTTTTTTAAAAAAAATTTGTAGGCTGAAAACAAGACTTTGTCCATCAGGTCCAGTCTTTCTTAGCCTTTTCTGTTTCTGCAGTTGATCTAAAATAATGCAAAAAGAAAAAAAAAAAAAAAGCAGTTTGAAGCGCTCTGCAGTTGTGCAAACAAATAGGAAATATATTACTTCCATACCCCAGAATGGCAGTCTGATCTCTGATTAGATCAAGAAGTTGTTACCCCACATGTTAAATATTATAACTTTGGACATTATTGTCTTGCAATAATTCATCCAATCACTGTTTAAAACAATGTACAAACTCTGATAAAACTACATCTTCAAGCAGAAAACTCTACAACTTTATTGTTCTTACAGTAAATGAACCTTTCCTTTGCCTTAGACTGAATTTCCTTTCTTCCAGTCAAAATGGATGATCTTGAACCTGTGTATA